TAGAAAGGAAAGGATTGTTTTCTTGTTCTACTTATTTGGTTGTATATTGTTGTCCAGGATTGTTGGAAGCAAGAGAGTCATTAAGAGAGGATTGTTCTCTTAGTGTACTTAGTGAAAGTCCAAGAGGATTGTTCTTGATGGTTTTATTGGCTAGAGTCTTGTATAGAAGGACTAGGGTATCTTGTCTAGAGATCTAACAATAATAAAATCTCTTTCATATTGAAAGGGTACTGGAGTACGCTCGAACTGTGAGGGGAACCGGGATATATCCTTGTGTTATTTAATTTCCGTATTTATCGCTATCATTACTTAACCAAAAACCAGAAAAGAAAGATCAAAGATTCATAAAATTGGAAATAATTTTAAAAGTTCTAATTCACTTCCTTATGGGTTTATGCACACTCTTATACTTACAATTTTCTCGCAATTTTAGAACCCGAGCATTTTCCTCTCATGGGTTTAGGTTGACATGCCTTCATCTTCCTTATGGACTGCTAACATATCAGTGATATTTCTATTCGTTGTCCCTTTGGATGGGATGTTTTCTCAGGGCGCTCCTCTATTGATAACAATTACGTATTGGTGCTTTCCCTTACTAGTTTCCTTTTTTCGCCACTAGTTCCAACATCTGTAGCTTTCGAGGGGGACTTGCTTTTTGGTGACTCTTCTCTTTTTATTTTTCCTCCCTTCACATATTGAAACAATTGAACCCCTTTTTAACTACCCCTCGATAACATATTTCAGTTTTATACAATCATTGGTGTTGTGGTTGTGGCCCTTCTGGAAGCGGAAATCATTGTCTTGTCTGTTTAGGATGATTCTCTTATGGGAAAGGGGGTTCTGATTCCTCTCTTTTGGAACCCCGTGTTAGCACACTTTTGAAAATTTTGTTCCCGTGATGCATTCAAAGGAGTGTACTTATCGTACTAACTGTGCATTCCACCGTCAGATTCATTTTTATGCCAGTGAAAATCCATCCTCGCAAGACAACTAGAATTAGCATCAGCTGCAACCAGGTCGTGCAACCAGATGTTCAACTTTTCTTCTAGGTTGATAAAATATTGGAATTTTTTTACAAATATACCACCTTTTTACAAATTATTCACCAAAATACCATCTTTTTTCCACTAAATCCCAAACTACCATGTTTTCAAAAAAAATTGTTACTGAAGAGCCACACATTGCTTTGGCGGTTCTGTGTTATTTTTTTATTCCCCTACAAATTTTCCTGCGGATTCTTTAAATACTCTTATGAAACTATCTGCGAATTATATAACATATGTGATGAATTCGCAGGTAATTCCAAGAGTATTATATATTATAGAATCTGCAGGAAAATCCACAGAAAAATCCACAAGTAAATTCGCGGGTGAATAAAAAAATTTAAAAAAAAAACACAGAACCGCCAAAGCAATGGGCGGCTCTTCAGTAACAATTTTTTTTTAAAAACATGGTAGTTTGGGATTAGTGGGAAAAAGATGGTATTTTGGTGAATAATTTGTAATAAGGTGGTATGTTTGTAAAAAATTCGAAATATTGAGCTGCAGTTCCTTTACGTTACACGCTTCTTTTTTTTCCATCTTCTAGTTGAAGGGGTTATCCCGAAGTACGGAATTTTCAAATATCCAACATTTTAGGCCTTATTTGGATCCTTATACTTCCATGGCGACTTGCATGAAACAATCGATGTAAGATTGAGACTTTCCTTCTTTCCTTTTGTAATCCTTCTTAAAGCAGCTATTGTCACTGGCTGCCTTTTTTGGACCGTGAAGTGAGCGGTGAAGCTCTCGCACAAGCCAATCTAGGACTCAATGCTCCTATTTGATGGGGCGTTGAACCATAGTATGGTTGATCCAATATAGGTTAGCGTAAATAGCTTAAATTGGGAAGCTTCATTAGGGTGAAAATAGTTCAACTGGTCATTGATGAGTTGCACATGCTCGTTTGGATATCCATGCTCGTTTGGATATCCCTTTATGTTGTAGTTGCCCAACTTATGAGGCTTCTCCAATGACTTCAGTATTTGACTATCCATAATATGAGGGCATAAATGATGTTTCTACGAATTCTTCGTTGGTGGAGGACTTTGGCGCTTCTTACTCTTCTAGTGATTATGAATTTTCAAAGTTTCATCTCTTCTCGATACGGTCAACTCTGAGACATTGGCTTGGATTCTCTTTGACAAGGCCTCATGCATGGTGTCTCCCTTTGGAGGTGTGATGTGTATGTTTTCTTCAAGACGAAACAACCTCTCATCTATCGCCTATGCATTATATTATCGATTAATGTCATACATGTTGTTTTGAAATTCATTGGCATATTGTATTCCATATTAGCTCACAGCATTTAGAAACTAAGTAGTGTTTTAGGTTGTGAAGTTGGTGGTGGTATCAGAGGTCTATTTAGAGGCACTTTAGTAGATCCTACGATCCGAGGAGGATAGAGTAAATCTGGATGCAGTAGAGTATCTGCCACTACTTGATGTGCAATACCTTGAGGACGGGGTGGTTGATTGATTATCGCTTGAGTGGCATCGGCAATTGCTTCATGTAAGATGGTGAAATGAGTAGCTTTATATCCATCCACATTGATGAAAGGTTAGGAAGTCAGGAATCAAGAAATTCAAGAAATCAAGGTTGATTCGCTTATTGAATGGGTCGAAAGCAGTGAATCAAGTGATTGATCTCGAGGTGTTAATTGGTTCAGGAAAATTCAAACCAAATCGGAACCCAAACTAAACCATGGTGTTTGGGTCGAATATTTTTTTAGTTTGGGCAAAAACCGAATCAAACCAATGAAACTCGGTGTTAATTCTTTCGGGTAACGGATTTTCAAAATTCTATCCGCGAGCCGGTCTACCCGAACCAACCATATTAATTTATATAATTGATATCATCATTATCATGAAAACTAATATAAGATATTCAACTTCAAGAAAAAAAGTGAAACACTATTTGTGACATTCACAACCTATATGGAGAAACGGAAAAAATCATGAATCTTATATTATTATAAAAAATTAGTTGATATAAATTAAGTATTTTTAAAAAATATTTTTACACATTTGTTTCTAATGTACCCGATCAGTCCAACTCAAATCAACCCGATAATTTTCAATTTGGTTCAATTTAGATTGTAGTGAAAAAAATATGAAAATTTAATTCAAACCAATTCATCTAATTTTGATTCGTTTGGATATCAAATTCTCTCAAAAACAAACTAAACCCGCCCGCGAACACTCCTATAAAAATATTTCATATTTGAATATTCAATTCAAAATATTATAAATCAAAATTTCCAGAAGGAAAAAAAGAAGAACATCTAATTTGTGGTTTCCAGATGATTGATCATGTATTGAAAACGTTCAATTTAAAAGATGTTGTTTTGAAATGTTATAGATATTATAAGATTATCATATTATAGAAGGTATAGAGAAAAAAATGGGGTATGAAGTCCAATTTCTCTTTTTAAATATGTGATATTTCTTTCGGCTTTCTCTTAGCAGTGAGTATGCATTGTATATTTGGGCCAGGCCAGTTTATACTGACAAAATACATAAGTGTTATTTGAGAATTTCTTTTTTTATTTGAGTCTCATCAGTCTTTGACAAAAAATCTAAAACACTCTCAAACTACAAATATACATATTCGAACACATCAAATTTAAGTTTTTTAGGAGTTCGTTCAAATATAAATATCCAAAATAACTTAAAAGTTTAATATTGAATTATTTCGATTATCCATATCCTAAATAATCTAATATTTTATTTTAAGAGATATGCATATCGGAAATAACCTTATTTTTTCTTATGAGATGTATATAAATTTAATATAGATGGTCTCTACACTTTATAAATTATTCATCATTTTTTACAAAAATATATTTATTTAATATTAAATATCCTATTTTAATATTATTTATTATTAATAACATTCAACTTTTGATTTAAAATAAATATTTTTTTACTATAATAAATTTTCTAATAATTAATTATCAATTCTATAATAAAAATTAAAAAAATGTCATCTAAGTTAAATATAACTTTTAAAGTTACAATTAAAAAATATTTTTTATAAAGAATTATTCATAATTTTAAATAAAAAAAATTAAAAGACAATTACATTTTATCATTATAATTAAAATTTTAATTATTGATTTATTGTTTAATTTTATACCATAAATTTATTTTAATATTTAATTTCAATTATAAATTTAAGTTATTCTTTATTAATAATAACTCAATTAATTATAATATAACTATATTATAAATAAATAATTTTTAAAAATAAAATCAAAAAAGATTTAAAATATTTAATTATTTTAGATATACATATTTGAAATCTCTCTAAAAATAAATATATGAGTTCGTTCGGATATAAATATCTAAAATAATACAATATTTTAAATTCATAAAATATCTAAAATAATACAATATTTTAAATTCATAAAATACATTAGAATATACAAATCTAAAAACTATTTCTGAGTTTTCAAGACAATGCACGAAGATATTCATGTAGAAGAAAAAAATTCTAATGTTATTTTAACATGATGAACCTTAATTTTGTGACATTTAGAATTATAAAATGCATTTTAAATAACTAAACCATCCAAGAGTGAAAACACTTTTGACCAAAAAGTGGACACAAGGAATGCTTTTGACCAAAAAATCAGAGAACACTACAACTAGTATTTTACAAGTAACAAAATCAACATATATCAACTATTTGATACATTGCTATTCGCACCCCTAACACTTGTCTCCAAAAGCGCCGCAACACAAAACTCACCCGAATGTAAACACTTTACATACACTATTACACAAATTAAACATCAACAACATATTCTCATGCCTCTAACGTAAGACAATTTTCCCATTCTCATGTCCACAACCAAACACTACTTTACACATTCCATTACATGCACAAATCGAAACAACAATACAAACCAACATTCACACAAAAAAAAAAACATGAAATAAATTATACATTACATAAAGCTCAGAAGAAAAATGAAGAGCCTCCGAAATCAAAACCATCAATAGAACTTGCCATAACATTATTCTCCGTAACTCCGACACCTCCAACATTCGAACCCAACATTTGATTATTATAACAATCTCCTCCAACATTCTGCTCCCATGATGAATAATAATACCCGTGATCATGATCACCACCGTTGAACGCCTGATCATAACACGCCGAGCTAGTTATATCCGGCGGCAAAGGCGGAAGCTCAATGCTATTGGTGTCACTACTACTACTAACAACAACATCCTCAAAAAACACTTGTTGGTTAAAATAAGAATTTTCATTATTATTATTATTATTATTGTTATTATTATTATTATTATTATTATTATTATTATTGTTATTATTAATACTAGCTTCCAATGTAGCAAGAGGAACATGAGGAGGAAGATTATATTTATTAAAATTAATATTATTGTTTTCCTCACCATAACCGTAACCGTAATTACCGGTTGATGTTACGAAAGAAACCGAGTCGAGAGACTGAACCGGGTTATGTTGAACCGGAAACGGTTCATGTTGAAGAACAAAGGAGAGTTCATGAAAAGCTTGTTCTTGTTGATGTTGTTGGTCGGGGGAGAGGATCGGAGTAACAGAAGAACCGGGAGGTGTATCGGCGTAAACGAAATTGGTTCTAGCACGTGAGCCACGCATGCCACGTGCGGCTCTGTCGTAAGCCAAAGCAGCTTCTTCAGCAGTGTCGAATGTTCCTAACCAGTGTCGTTCTTTTGTCGAAGGATCGCGAATCTCAGCGGCGTATCTTCCCCATGGTCTTCTTCGGACTCCGAGGTATCTTCCTCCCCATGCCGTTTGTTGCTGTTCTTGTGTTGTCGTTTCGCTTGTTGTTCCTGTCGTTTGCTTCTTTTTTGTTTTCGTAGAACTCATTGTAAATGCAAAGTAATGTAAGAGTTTTTTTTTTTTTAACTGTTTTTGTGATGTTTCGTTTCTGTTTCGTTTTGCATGTGAATCCATGGTTTAAATAAGAGAGACTCTGGTTGTTTGAATTCTCCATTTTACCCTTTTTATTTTGTTTTTCCATTTTTAGCCTTTGTTTATATGAAAGAGTGTTGACACGTGCTTTGTGTCACTTTATCCAAAGATAGGTATATATATAATGTGTATAATGTAAGCTTTCTTATAATAAAATCTGTTTCAGTGGTCTCATAATAATTGAGTAATCTAGTCAATCAAAAAGGGGAAATTTTAGAACAATCAAAGGGTTACATACACTGAGCCACTGAGCAACAGAATCCATCACTGACTCTTCAAATATTTTATTACCCAATATATATATTTTTTACTTATAATTATTGCACGAGAGATGAGTTTCATATGATAGGTGAAAGGGATATGTAAAAATAAATACGGTAAACATTTTGATTTAGTTTTTTTTACTCCTATCTTTGATTTAGTTGGTCACCGATACTTTTATTCAAGAAAATAACAATATTCAATGTTATGTTATAATATATTTGTGAAAAATCCACGTGTTCTTACGGATATCGGTGTGATGCAGTCAATTGTGACCAATTAATGGAAAGTAATTACATAAGAAAATAACTTGTGATTAATAAATCGCAAATAAGTAAAATTAAAAAGATAATACAATTTAAAGAACATGTAAGAAAGATAGATGTAAATATTGTAATACATCGTTAGAAAACAGAAATTAGATTTATTTATGGCTTACAAAGATAGATTTTAGATCATTGATGTAAACAAGAAACATCAAAAAAATTAAATTAACAGATTTTATAGATATGACATTTTTGATGTTGAGATGCTTTATCAATTCTAAATCAAACAGTGTCACCAAATTTTCTAATTTCTTCATAAATCGTAGGTCTTTTGGCTATAGTCAACATCATTCGTAGATAGAAAAATTCACTGATTATTAGTGACACCCATATTAAACGTCCGACGGTAAACCCTCTTTTTCATGGCTTCCGCAATCTTTCGTAACAAATTCATATCTCCTTTCATTATCATCATTAAGTAAGACCTGTGGCTTGTCCCTATATCAATAAGATAGTCAGTGGAAAAAATAGAAATGCTGTTAATGTTGTTGATAATTTGAATGACATGTAAATTATATATTATGAAAATTTTGTTAATTCTGCTGCTGTCTGCAATATTTTCAGAGCCATGCATATGCACATATGCATCCATCGCTACTACATTGTTCCAAAGTTGTGGTCATCAAACCAAATCGAATGTTAGGACTGATATACGACAACGTTAGAATGTAAAAAGAATTCCAAAATAGACGTACCGAATTCAAGATTTGTTCTCAATATATGTTGAATTTTCCACCAATGAATGTATGAGAAATCAATAATATCTTGTAATATACCAGTGAAGAAATATATAGAGATGTTATTCAAATTTTTATGAATAAAGACAACACAACAGACTATAAATATGATAGTTAGACTTCATGTACGCATGGATTACCGACACATACGTAGTATGTGTTAGTAATGAAAAGTAAGTTTGGAAAAAGAGATAACCGACGTGACAAACTTTGTTACGAAATCAGTGACTTAAGGATGCTCGTAATTGAGCAACAATTTAGAGCCATTCCATGCATCGGAAAGGTTTAGCTTTCCAGTGACTTCATGAAACGAAAAGTAAATGTATTAGTCATTAGCATATATTGGTAATTAGATTTGAAATTAAAATTGTGATGGAGAATTTCAGGAATGTCTTTCTTGGTAATAACAGTTTTAAGGTAGATCGTTGTCTAAAGATAGAACACAATTTATCATGTTTTGTCATTTTACTTTAAGCGAATTTGAAAATTGTCTATTTTAGAGTAAAATCTCCAAGACTCAATTCATCTAATAGAAAAATATACATGTATATTTAAGAATGGTATAATATTCTACTGAACACATATGTTAACCTAGACTATTAATAGTGATAGCAAAAAAAATCTTAAATATATAAAAATATATTGTATTTTAGAAAAGATATGGTGTTCTATTTAGTAAATATTTAGATTTTAAAATTTAAATTTATTTACAAGTACTCCACTAAAATTCATTGATGCAAAAGAATTTACCAATAAATAATTAGTATGTAATGTTATTTAAGAGAATAATTATGATAGTTGTATAGTAATTAAATAGTGGGTGGCATAATTAGAAATGTAAATGGTCCATGATAAGCATGTTCTGCTAGATACCCCATTTCATGATTATTCCCTAATCAACTTAGTTCTGCTTAGTTTTGAATTAGTTAAACTTAAATAAACCTCAGTATTATGACCATAAAATAATAATAATAATCAGGGGAATAATTAAGGGGCATATAGTCCAAAGTTGCTGCATGTGACTTTTCTATCAAATCATGGGATTGTACATGAATGAGGAACTAATCACACACAATCTACTAATTTCTCTGTTTCAAAAACGATAACAAAATAATTTGTTTAAAATAAATATCTTTCTCACATTTTAATAACAAAATAATTTGTTTAAAATAAATATCATTCTCACATTTTTAATAGTAATGATCATTATTTTTTTAATTGTATCTTATAATTATTACTTTAAATACTATTTTCAATAAATTAATAAGAGTAATTTAATAAAAATATAATATATCATGATAATATAATTATATTCTTTAATTTATATATAAAAATTTTAAATTAAAAAATCTTAAACGATATGCATTTTGATACGGAGAAAGTAAGTTATAGAAAATCTATTTTAATATTATGATGATGACTATGATGATCAGTTGAAAAGAGAAAAAGGTTCATATGAATTTGCACATTCTAACCATCATTATAGGTGGGAGGAGCTCCATGCCTTTTTTTGATAATTTAGGCTATAACATAAGATCTTTTAGAATAAACTACTTTGATTGATCATTAGTAATTATGTGGGTGCTATGTCTAATCTACATATTACTCTTCATTGGCTGCATGCTTAAGATGTGTACTTTGTATTTTTTTAAATAATAATAATATGCACACTCCTATTTCTTTTTATATGAATATGTTATCTTTTGTTTGGAGCTGTGAAATTAATCTCTGTTTGGAGCTGTGAAATTAATAACAAAAAGTGAAATAGATAATAATTGACGAGAAAATTTTTATTAAAATAATTTAACATTTATGGATTTTCATAATCGAATTTAAACTCATATTTTTATTAAATTATAACATATTTCTGTCATCTCATCCAAATATATGTTAGTTTCTATGATTTAATATTGTAAAAAAATAAAAGTTTTTCTTTTAATTTTTCTTATCAAACATAATAAATGAATTCCAATTTTTAACTTTAAACACAGACTTTCTTGAATCAAAACTTTACCAATTGCTTCTCTTCTTTGAAATTGTATCATATATCCAAACTTCCTTTTAAAATGACCCTTAATTACGTTTAGAATGTAATTTATAGTTTTGAAGTATGTTGTTGGCAAAATATTTAGTATTGTCGAAGTGTTGAAGTAGGTTGTCTCAATATGAATTTTGATTTAAGTCTATTTTGTAGTACTAGCAAGTTAGTTAATTTGGATTTTGTGTTTTGGGCTTTGATTTTGGGAGTAAGTAAAGCTAAAACTATAAATAGAAGGAGTAATCCCTATTATTATAACACAGTTGAATATTGGAGTTGTAAAAAAAAAAATCATAGTTTATAAACAAAGAGAAACTCTGCATAAATATTTGTTTTCTTCTACTATTTTCGTTAAACCCTAATTTCATCTTTCTTCTTCCATTAACAATTGTGCAACAAAATAATCTTGCAATCAAGGTTGATTGATTCACTTGAGTGAAGAGTGAAGAACAAGAGGGAATTTGATCAGTTGATTGAATCTTGTTCATCAAAATTGATTCATAATTCTCCAAAGGTTTGGTGGATTTTCAACATTTGGTATCTAGAACATTGGCTGAGTGATTCTTGGGAAGTGAAACTCGATGGCAATGAATAATCCAAATGAGTATTTTCCGGTGAGTCTCCCAATTCTCAAGGTTCAGAATTATGAGAATTGATTTAAACAGATGAAGGTTACTTTCTATTATCAAGATATTTGGGATCTTGTGAAAGAAGGTGTAACACCGCTTAAAAATGACGCGACAGATAAAAAAAAGGTTGCACACAAAGAATTGAAGAAGAAGAATTATAAGCTTTCTTTATAATTCATCAATGTATTAATTCAGACAATTTTGAGAAGTTGAGTGATGTTGAATCAGCGAAAGAAGCATGGTAAATTCTTGAGAAATCATTTGGAGGTGCAGAAAAGGTGAAAGAGGTGAGATTACAAACTCATAAAAGAATACATGAATTGCTTCAAATGGAAGAAAGTGAAAGCATAACTGATTTCTTCACTAGGGTTATGAAACCGGTGAATCAAATCAAGGTATGTAGAGAAATATTGACAACAAAATCAGTTATCGCAAAGATCATGAGGTCTTTGGCTCTAAAATTCGACCACGTGGTGGTAACCATAAAAGAGTCGAAATATTTATCGAAATTGACAAAGGAGAAGCTTCAAGGGACACTAGTTACAGGAAAGTCGAAAAGTGATGTGGCTCTGCAGGCGCAATCAACAAGAGAAAAGAAAGGCAAAGGAAAGTGGTTCGACAATAAAGGTAGAGGATGCTACAAAAATTCGAATGGTCGAGGAAACCAACAAGAAGGAAATGCATCGAACCATAGAAGAACCTCGTACCAAAGCAACTAAGGAGGTGGTATTGCAAGCAGAGAAAGAGGTGGTGGTCAAAAACCTGACAAAAGTCACATTAAGTGCTTCAATATGGTCACTATTCTAGTGATTATCCAGGAAAACAGAAAAATCAAGACATTAATGCAAAATTTACAAAGCACGAAGAAGAGATGATGTTGAAGGTCACAACAAGATATAAAGAG